ACACTTTTTTTTCCATTGGTATGCCTTGGGCAACTCCTAGGCACCCTCTCTTGAAGTGTGTTGCAACCTTGTACAAGTTATGTTGCAATAAGAGCAAAGCTGCCATTACTTTAATCTGCATTCACTTGAAAATGCACATCAGTACCTGTTCCTTCTTTTTAATTACTCTACCACCTGAGTTTTCATGTGTTGTGGCTGATCCAGGCCTGAAATCTGCCAATGTGTCATCTTCTTAAGTATGTTGCTGAGAAGCAAAAATCAATTCAGCATTTTTGGAGCTGACGAAGGATAAGGAAAATCACTTCTCTAAAATAACACAGGTAACTCTTTTAGGACAGCACTGCTTAACTGATAAGGCTGAACAGTTAAAATTTCCTGTGGAAATGCAATTTTCACTGGATTCAGTTATGGTTCTTTAAAGAACTACATTTGCCAGTTATTGGAGCTTCTTAGAAGTTTCCAAGTGTTAGGTTAAGTCTGATCAATAGTTCTGCACATAATAAAACCCCCTGATTTCCGTGTCAACGATTTGAATCATGTAGGTGCAGTTTTAGTTTAAAAATGTATGACCAACCACCATTATGGCAGCTTTATGAAGAAGGGAAAGTAGAAAGGTTGCATTGGTGATTTAATCGGGAGGGTCTGCAGTTTCTCACTCAAGGTAGCAGTTTTTTATCCTCTGGTATGTTTTTGTGTGTGTCCCCCAATTTATTACATAACTGAGATGTAAATAACTGCTGGTGTCTCCTTGCAGGCCCTTTTCTACCCCTTTTAATTTTACAAAATGTTAGTAACTAACACTCTGATATAACGCAGTTACTGGGGCTACAAACAACTCTGATGGGTGGAAGGTAAGAAATCCTAATAAATATAATTGTGTTACTTCTGAATTAAACATGGCAGTAATTACCTTTGCAACAGACTAGATACACCATTCCATAAAGTGTAAATAAACTAAACTTTTCTTAAGGTATTTTTCAGAGCTATGTAGTCAATTAGGTAGAGAATTGTGGAAATATTAAAAAGTGTTGCATAAGCAAAGCATGAAATAGGCAAATCAGCAATTCTTTAATTTGATTCTAGCATGTTCTGATTTGTTGGATTAATCCAATGCATTTTAGAAAAATGGCTCATATTTTTTTATAGAAAAGAGGTCAACTTAACAACTTGTCTTTAAGTACTTATCCCCATGAGGTCCTCTTAGAACTTCAAGATTATCTGCTTCACTGTTGGTGAATACACTACTGCTAGTGTGGTGGTTTCCTCCCAGTAGGCACAGCAAAATGTGTTAATGCCAAATTATTAATATCAGATTATATCCTTTCCTTAGCTTAATGTCAGACATATCTTCTTTGCTATAACAACTCAGGCCAGTGCCCTTGTATTAACAGAGACAGCATCTTTACTGACAGGTCTCAGAAAAGGATTTGGCCAGCTAACAGCTATTTGAATGAGAATAATTTTGATTTATTTCATTTGATTTGATTGTTCTTTAATCATGCTAGTTAGGAGCAGAGATTGGGCTTTCTGAGACAGGGGCACAGGAGAAACAGGAGTCCCTCCTAAGATGATACTCACAAGAATAGCTTTCAAAATACAACAGCAGTATTTTAGTTGTGGTGGTTGAGCTCCTACTGTAAAAGTGGCCTGAAGTTTAAAAGCATGCCTCCTTCCCAGATGCTCTAAGTGATCTAACAGAAGACACTACCTTTCCCTATAAACATTGTTTCACTTACCTTTGTAACTTGCAAGCTCCCTCACACACACCTTTTCTTCCTGGGAAATGCTAAAAATATTGGAAGAGGTATTAAACTCAAAGGTTAGTTAATCTATAATGGAATCAAACATTCCCAGGAAGTAGAACAGGAGAAATTTGCAAATAAGTAAATAAGTGATTGAGAAAAGAAACCAGAAAAAAAAGATGCATCACAGGAGCAATTTAACTTGTGGGAAATGAACTAAAATGACCCTTTAATTAGTTACAGAGGCACATGTAGATAGGTAAGTACCACGTACGTGTGCCTATACATTATGAAGAGATATCACTAGTTTAGCATTAAAAAAAAAATCGACACAAGTTAACTCCTATTTTTGGTGTCAAATACTTCAGACAATGATTGAAGGCTCACGACTGACAGTTGGCACCCTTGAAACAAAGGAATCGTGAATTGAAAGCCACATCCGTTACTTTGTGACCCCTTCTCTTTTGAAAAGTGTGATCGAGGCACTTTTCCAAGCTGTGAAAGACCGTGGTTCAGATCTCAGGTTAATACTCACGTCACATGCTGTAGGGCAGTCTGCTAAGACTTATTCCATCTCTGTTGCTAATGTTGGTAGAATTTTACACTAAATGTTCCAAAAAATATTTAAGCAGAACTGTGTCAAAAGGAGACATTAAGAAGAATGCACTTAAAATACCTGGCAACACTAAGACATGCTCCCAAAGCAATTATTCAACTCCTGCTTTGAAATGGGTGGAATCTGGTTTTGAACTGACTTCCCTCATTCCAGGTGGACATCCTAATTAGAGGGTTCTTGAGGGAACAGAAAGCACAACTTCTTACTCTGGTATATCTGCCAAGGAAACACAGCAACAATTAACCAGCACAATCGTTGTTTTCTGGAAAACAGAGTCATCACAAAAACTGCTCAATTTTTGTCCAGACCCTGCGTCACACAGGTGAAATGAGACAAGAGGTACTCAAAACCCTCCTCACTGCTGAAAATACAGAACATAAATGTTTTTTAACAGATGGAACTGACTCACAGAGCTATGCAAACAGGAACAGGGCAATGCAACAGAAACAGTATTGCCATTAGCATAAAATATTTTGATAGCTTTTTCTTACATATGTTCCTTTTTGTGAGCATGATGCACTTAAGTGTTAAGAGCCTTGCTGGACTGAGAGCAAGAATCCCAACCTGTATTTTGATTATTTTAAAATCAATTTGAAACAGTTAAGTATTACCAACTTAATTGTAGCTTGTTGCCTAGAAATAATATAAGGATAATTATTATTTTTTTTCAGTCCCACTTTCCAAGCTCACTGAAAAGCTACACAGTATACAAAATGAGAATGGTGCATCAGATGAGGAGAAAACAAAATTTGGTAAGCTAGTAAAAAAGCTTCTAGACTGCTCAGCTGCTGATATTCCTAAAATTGACTTAGTTTTAACTGAATCCAGTTCAGGTTCATTTCAGTGATACAGAGAATGTTTACACTCACTTCCACTGCATCTACTCCCTTAGGGATCTATTTTTAAATGTTGATATTCAACTGAACTGTTTTCAAAGATAAAGACTAAAAGCATGGGAAGCTGAAGTTTCCAGCTTCAGAACAGGTGAAAGAGCAATACTGTCCATTTATTACCCTGCTCACAATCCCTAGAAAAGCAAAAGCATAAATTAATTGAAAAAAAAGTTTCTAGATACAGATTATTTTGGGAACCTTTTCCCCTCCTTTTTAATCAAGACAATTGAAAGAGCACACATTTCTGTAAAAGCAAAGTGAAATTATTCCTTTTAATACAGTGTCAGGTGGAAGACAATACTTACTTGTAAAGTTAGCCAAGAAACTTCTGAAGCCGCTAATTTTCCAGGAAAATATTAACCATCCCTTAATCCAGTCACCAATCTTGTTCAGCATACTTTGAGAATGGTGTTCTAATTTGAGGGAGACAGTAATTTTCAACAACAGATGCACATGTAAATATTAATTCCATTTATTGTGGAAACACTGAAGACACAGCTTTAACGTACTTCCACTGAACAACTAATAATTTAATCTGAACTTCACACTGTTTATTGTGAAAATGCTGCAGATGCAAACACAGATTTAAACACAGTTCCACCATCAGAGAACATGACACTTCAAGGAAGGTCAAAACAAAATGGCTTTTAAAGCTAAAAAGAAGAGGCAGATGCCATTTCCTAGAAATGAAGGAAGGTAGGCTCCACTGGAGCAGCTGTAGTGCTGGGCTTTTCTTTTGGATTGGTGGCAAATGAAAAACCCAGAGCCCAGTGATTTTTCTTTTTTACCTAATTGCTCCAATCCAGGAATCTTTGGCACTGGAATTTTCCTTTGCTTTGTGACTACAAAGATTATTCAGCCATTTGTTCTTAACAAGGCCACTGTCTTAAAAGACTTAATTTAATCCTACTGTGTGGCATTTAATTGCAAAGGACGCTCCTGAGTGTCAAATTCTATGCTGATAGGAGACTAATAGTATCAAGTTATTGCACTAGTTCTTTTTTACTCTACTTTTATCTGACTAACAAGGCTATTAGAGAAAATAACTGATTTTCCTCATTATTCCCCAAAGTGGCCTTATCATATTACATATAGATCTACATGCAAGAGGAAAGAATTCCACTGCATTGATTTAAAGAGACAAAAAATGAATCACCAAACTTTAAGTTATGTTAAGGTAAGCATGCAGGCTTGTACAGTGCCCAGATTTAAACCAGAACTGCACTGCTTCTTCTTTGCACAGATGAATAAAAACAAGGCCTATTTAAAAACCCTGCATCACAGAAAACAGTAACACATGGCTTATTCTGTCAGTCACAAAGCTACATTTTACTTCCTCATTGCTTTGTAGCAGCTGTGAAGCTGTATTCATGAAACAGAGAATGTTCATATATTGAAAACTTGTGCGTAAAATAGAATAATGTGTGCACTTCTTAGACATCAATTAAAACACTGACAAAACAAAAGTATTAGAAAATATTGTAGAAAACTAGAGCTCTTCTAGAGTAAACAGCAAAAAACCTATCAATTTTCTCATGGAAATCAAAAGACTTTTTTGGGTACAATCTTTGCATGCTGTTCCTCCTTATAGTGCTACATAATCACTTTGCTTTTTCCTCTCATTTCAGGATCAACAAACAGCTGCCTAAATATTAATTCAAAAAATATTAATTAAAAACTGGAAAGAATTGGAGCCTAGCACATCAATTTAAAAAGTTGTCTCTGATCATATATTTGATATCAAGTCCTAGCATGAAACGATTATATTTAATCCAAGTAGTTTCTTGTTAGGAAATAGCAAACATATGCTGTCAAATAATTTTCAGTACAAAAGATATACAGATAAAATAGTTTAACTAAAAAGTTCTGAAGGCTGTTAGGCATCAGCAGGGAAGGCACTTTTCTGGTCACATTTGGATTCAGCACAGCTTTGGTATTTCAATTTCTCCTTCAGTTTCCATGCAAGTGGTATGCACTGACTGCCCAGTCCTGAACTTCTCCACTTCCAAATAATGCAAAGAAAATTGCTCCAAATACATTGATAGAAGCAGCAATGTAGAAAACAGTCTGCCATTCTCCCACAGTATTCTGTCAAAAGAGGGAGGAGGGAAAAAAAAAAAAATGCAGTCAATTTGCAGCTCCACACTCAAGAAAAAGTAATTTTAAAACCAAAGTCACATGCCTTGCCTATTTAAATGTAAATGCTATTCAGCATGATTCCATAGCAACGTAGATGCATTATAGACATAAAAGATCAAATAATCACTATAGTCAATTTCAGTTTAATAATACAGCTTACACAGGTAGTATCAGAATTGCGTTAGACTATCTGGATCAGTTTATCACTTGAGATGCAGAACTTTCATATTCAAATTCACATTTGCAAAAGGCTACATAAACTCAAAGAGAAAGTTACTGTAAGGAGAAACACTACCTGGCTTTCAAGTAAGCTCTGCACTATGTAAGCTATTCTTAATGACTGTTACGTGGATATTCCAGAATCATAGGCTTTTTAGCCCAAACACAGTAGCTATCCTTACTCAGATTTCAAGAGGAATCCTCTAAACTCTGTTGTTTAAGAAAGGCCTTAAGACATGGGTAGGAAAGAACTGTGATTTGTTTTCTTCTTTTTTGTATATATAAAGAAGTAGTATCTGTAGATGTCTTAAGGCTTTTTTTTTTCTTCAGTTCCTGATTACTACTGTAACAAACCTGTAAACAATCTTACAGCAAAGCCATGGACACTGTATTAGCATAGGGAAAAAAACCCAAAACAGAAGAAATCCCACTGGTTAAGATGTCTGAAAGAACTAATTTGTTTGAACTAATGTATCTATGAGTATTTTCATATTAAAGGAAATTATTGAAGTGATCATCAACTCCAAAAATTCAACTGTATCAATAAACTTACTCCTCCCATCTTCTTTTCTTAAAAGATTTCAGAATAATTCATACAGTTGATTTAAAAACAAAACAAAACAAAAGAAATAAAACAACTCACTGCTTTTTTCTACTCCAAGTCACCCTTTGATTAAACCATCTTGGAAGTCACATCTAACACTGTTCAAAAAAGTTAAATGTCTTGTGAAACTAACACAGCTTAGAATGTCCTAATCCTGTCATGTACATGCAAAGGGATGAACTATAAAAACCATACATTTTAATCTAGTTTCTCATTCATCTGACACAACTAAACACCTCACATGAGACTGATTTAAAAAAAAAAAAGCAAACACAACTAATAAGATCTTGCCTTAATTTGCTAAAATACCACAGCTTTCTCATCTAGTTGGCATTTTAAGAGTTTTACTGTGATAAAAACATATTCATTTTATTCCTAGAGAATAAGGGGTGAGTCACTAAAATGCCCATAAAAGTATTTGATTTTACCTTTATTTTCCTGATCAGAATCAGAAGAACAAAGACTGTGAACTAAGTCATTCACAGCAACAGAACACTACGACTTAAGTTACAAACCAGATTTTGTTTAAAGACTGCAGACTTGAGAAGACAGAACTTCCATTCAGGGGAGATAAATATATAACAATTGAAAAAACAGTAAGTAGACTTACATTATGAGTAAGATTCTTGGCAATAACTGGACCCACCATTCCTGGGATAGTAGCAAAAGAATTAGTGATCCCAAGGAGAATTCCAGCATACCTGCAAGTGAAATTGTTAATGCTGATTATCAGTCAGGAAACAATTTTGCCCAACGGGATCACAAATGCCTCATCTTGATCACACAGACAAATTAAAACACAGATTTCAGTGGGAATGGCTTGCTTTTATTTCAGTAAGAACTCACTGACAACTTGGTACATGCATTTTTAGGGACACAGTTTAGTGGTTGACTTGGCAGTGTTGACAGTTGGCCTTGATGATCTTAAAGGACCTTTCCATCCTAAATTATTCCAAGATTTTATACACCTCTATTTTCCAGAGGCTAGTTATGGAATTTAACTTAAATTACTCATGGCCTTGCTCAGGATCCATAATCCAATTCCCCTTTCTTAAACCACAACTAAACTGTCTGGAATTAATCCACTGCAGAAGTTAGAAATGTTGCATGCCTTGAAGTGAAAGACAACATGGAATATGACAGAGTGCTTTTTGGCAACACTAAGAGCTAGTTCAGGTATCATTGCTAAATAGTGTCTGCCAAGAAGGCCATATCACCAGTGAGGAGAGATATCTCCACTTACATGGTTCAAAGACCTGAGTTCAGAGCACTGTGGCAGTCCTTCCCTTCAGCTTTCTGTAGGTCAAGGCCAATGGGAAATGCATCTGGCTTAACCAGTTCTGCTGGTTGCCATTGCTCTTGCAGTTCCATTCTGAGGCTTCCCTGTTCCATGTTGCTCTATCACACACACATGCAAGCCTATGCACCAGCGGCCATAAAACCTGGCTGGGAAAAGCTTGTAACTTGCTTAATATCTGAGTCTCAGCACCTCATCTCTAGGCAATTAAAGATCTCACTCACAGAAGTGTTGCAATACCAAAAGATCATGTTTGAAACTGTACCACAAGCACAGACTCGTGAGAGAGACTGAAGAGAAAGAAGAGCTAGACACTCTACAGCAGAGCTCAACCTTCCAACCACCAGGGCACAGATCCCTGCGGTTCAGATCTTCAAGGTGGATTTGCTGGCTGAAGAATCATATAAAATTCTCACAGTTGCAGGTTACCACAGAGGAAAGGAGCTCTCTCCTAGTGATCGCTTTAGATTGTTTAGAAAAGTGAAATTATGTCCCCACTGATTTTAAAATAACAGAAATATAATTTCATTCCTAAAGATATGGATAGCTTTGAAGTTTTATTCACCAGAACAGGAAGATTCAACCATACAGCACCATTACACAAGGTTATGATATGTCTGTTCAGTCCAACAATATTAGAGAAACATGCTTTTTTTCCCTGAGAAAAAGAATCAATTATCTACTCTACTGGTTGATTTTTGTATTGAAAGTCAACAGTACATGTCAATTTAAAGCACAGTAATGTATTTTAGACTGAGCTTAAATGCCTTCATTAAAATGATCCTTATTTATTAGAAATGTAATATGTAGTCTACTTATCTCAGAAAGTGTTTAAGAATGAATAGGCCTTTATGAAGCTGAATGTGAAATAGTAAAAGTTTCCCCTAGGCAGATAAGCTGATGTAGCAAAACTCCATTTAAAGCCTCTAAGTGGATCCAAATGCTTTTTGCCTTCAACATGTTTAAGCACTACAATACTGCTAACATACATTTTAAAAACTAAACATGGTTTAATAGTTTCCCTGGTGGCAATCAATTGCTGGCTAAAGGCCTCTGGTTATGCCCAGTGTTTCTGACATAAGCTGCATTCTTGATAAGCCTCACTGTTCAATGCAGATAACTGCTATGCCCCTCCCAGCGGAGACTCCCCTATGAAATGGGAAAGCAACAAGTGACCTGTCTGTAGAGCAAGACTAACAGCACGCTGTTGCTCAGGTTCTTATGGCATAGTGGGGATGACCAAACAGAAATAGACTTGTAGAGCAGTTAAGTAGTAAAATCAAGAGTTAAAAAAAAAACCAAACAGACATGTGAAGTGTTTAGCGTATAACAGCCACAGGACTAGTAACGAGGGATCATGCCAACAGCAGTACTAAAACTTATAATCATGGCAACATATTGACCTAGACAAGGACCTAGAATAGAATGTTTTCCCCACAAGAACAATCTTGTCTCTCTCCTGTGCCCACCTCCCCCCAGTTCAATATACAGATGGCACAACAAATACATGCTAGAAATCAAAACCACATAGCAAATACTGTTTTCCCTTTATTATCAGTATTTTCATTCCATTTTCCTGTGAATATAATAATTATTTCTTCGGTATAATGCAAGTTTTAGTAGCAACAAGGGACTCTTTGCTATTCTAGTCAGCATACTTTTAACCAATTAAAACAGGCATTTAAGTGCATTTTGAAACAGCTTTGAATCAGTTCTGGTTATTCTAATATCTTTCAGTAAATAAAAAAAAATATAAATAGAGCTTTGGGTAAACTCTCAACAGAAGTTTACTTCACAATTTTACTCAGACTCTGTTTTAAAATTTCTACAATTATGTCAAGCATTTCCTTGAAATTGTGAATGTCTGCCTTAGCTGCTTCAGCCAACAAAGTCCAGAAAGTCCTGAAAAGTTAAGTGGGGGGGAAAAAAGGCTTCTTTTTCCTCTCATCTTAGATGTTTTTTTATTTCTGTATTTGAAGATTTTTGTTGTTGATTCATTTCGGTTTTTTGTTGGGTTTTTTCCCCTACAACCTTTGTTACAAGGACATGCTCTCTTCATTCTCTGTCTGATTTCAGTAAAACAGCATCTGCCCTGACTATGTTCCCATCCAGGGAAGTTTTCCCACATATGCAGCCATTCGTCTCTAAAGCAAATGCCAGGCCAAAGTTCCTGAACTATTAGCAAGACTCCTGCCTCTCCTGCACTTGCAATCAGTATGCTCCTTTCAGCCTACCTAAGAGGAGAGAAGGGCTAGAGGAATTTGTATGGTTTACATGTAAAGGGAATAAAAGTAGGACTTTGTTGAGGGTAGGAAGAATAGCATGAGATTTGGTCAGAGGGATCAGCAGCAGTTCATGTGGTGAATCTAACTGTGCCTGCTGACATATATCAGCATTGTGCCACAGAATGTTTTTCTTGTGGCTTTTTGGTCAACACCTAAAACACTGTGTATACTGTCATATACAAAGTCACCCTTGAAATAAACACATCAGAAATGCAAAGTGAAGCATCTCTCAAATTAGAAAATACACTCGACATCCTAGTTCTGGAAAACTCAGCTGTCACCTGCATCCAGAAGTTCCTTGTGCACATGCCTCAGAGAGACAGACACAGCAGTTGCAAAATTTCCTTTTTCCTTTGACAGTTCTGTTGCACTCAGTGGACAGGATGAATTGTACTCACTTAACAAGCACCATTTAGCATTTTGTTTCTCTTCACTTGCTCAATGCATAAACCCAGCCCTTACTTTCTGCATACTATTCAGCTGCTGCAAGTAGAATTCTAATAATTCCACTTGCCAGTAGAACTCTTCAGATACCAGTTTATTTTCAGAACATTCTTGAGGCATGGAGAGGACAAGGTGAAACCCACCCTATAGATAGGAAACTAAAACATAGGATAAGATCTATGTGCCTACTTGATGCTTGATTTCAGATCCTCAGGATCTCATTTTCAGAGTATTTAACAGTATTATTCATAAATTCAAGGCACAGCTCCACTGAATTCTGTTTGTACTCTGAGTAATGCCATTTTTGCAAAACAGAACTTAATAGCTTGAAGAGACATACAAAAGCAAGCAATAAATCAGAGGACTCAGTTAATATTGCAGGATCCAACATCAGCCTCTCAAGTCTGAACTTCAGCTGCTGCAGGCTCCCTTTACACATTAAGGTAGACTGAACCAGCTTCAAGAAGTTCCCATCACTGTTCATAACTGAAGAACTCTAAAGAGTCCAGATTCCCAAAGCCAGGGGGTATCAACATGGTCCTCACAGATGATCGCACTGGAGTCTGAGCCAACTGACTTAACACATGCAAACTCTGTGACAGAACCCCAGAAGGACTGAGTTCCCAAAAGCAGTGATCAGCTACCTTAAACACAACCCTTCTTTTCTCCTCTAATGCCCTGCCTCAGCCATTACGTGCTCTGCAACTACTACAGCTATGAGGCAGAGGGCTTAGGAACGAATGCCAGTCTCTCTTTCTGTACAAATGCTCAGTCATTTTTAAAACAGGATTCATCCTGTGCACTGAGTGAAGAAGAGGCCCTGTGCCAGGGAATACCACTACAATAGCACAAAGACTAACTTGTGACGCACAGAGAAAAGGAGGCAAATCAAAACTGCACAGATATCCAGGTTCTTCCACTAAATAACTTAGAATAGTAAAGTCTTTTGACATTAATGCTTATATCTTGTATTTTTAAACAGAGGCATAAAATAACTTCAACTCCTAGGCAATATTTTACATGTTAAGAAACTAACTGTTGTAGTTCTGCAAAACCAAGCTTGAAACAGAAGATGTATAATGGTCCCATAATACTCCAGATGCACGGCTTTAACTACATCTTCTATATTCATAATTCTACTTGACTTAAAACAAAGTGAATCACAGAATCTATTCTTCTTATTTTCATATTCATACAAGCTGGTTATAGCTGGCCACTGACACCTTCCTTCTTACTTACTACCTAATCTCACCTGCCAAGATTAATGGACTCACATTATTTCATCTCCATGTGTTAAGTCATGGCTTGTCCATCCTTGTGGGCATAACCACCAACCTTCCATTTGCCAAAGCGTGGATATAATCTTCAATTTGGACCCAAGGTCTCCCATACAAGTTGTCCAAATCTTGATAATTTTTTTCTAGATTACATTTCTACATATTTTTTTTCCCTATTCACTTCCTCTTAAACTAATTTAATTGTACATGTTAGTATAGAAATACTCTTCTTTTGGTCATAAAACCATTTGACCCTGCTCATATCTACGTGTTACCACAGACAGGCAAATGAAATGACAAAATAAGGTACTTTTAGCAGTGCAAGGAATGCTTATGTGGACTTTCAAAAGAATACACATACATTCACACTCTTCAGGAAATGGATGAATCTGTCCAATTGTGAATTTGTAACACAGGGGAGAACACAGCCTGAAGTCTAACTTTCCATTCTTGAAAGTTAGTAATTTAAGAACAATTGTACATATCTGGTGTGTCACCTACTGATAACACGATTTTGATACCAGTGTATAGCATGTTTTCCAAATACAAATAATTTGTCTGTATCACAGTGTTTAAATATGGCAATGGTCACGCTAAAGGTTGATAGCTCTGATGAAAAGGTTTAAAAGAGAGAAACACTTAATTGTATTGTGCTGGTCCAAAACCACTGTCTTGTTAAGATCATGAATCAAATAGGACAAAAATCTAGCAAATATTATTACAGGAATTATATAATTTATTACTGCAGGATCAAAAATGGAATTATTTTAAACTACTGTTCATACAATATCCTCTGCCAAACCTTTTGCAAATACCATGCTTAAAACTGTAAACTTGAGCCACTGTTAGTGTGTACATCCCAGCTCTGTACAGCACGTGGTCCACAGCTAAATCTCTCAGGCACCCCAGCAGTAATATATATTTTAAAAAGTGGTCATAAATATATTATATGCACTAACAATAGCTTCAGCAACACTTACGAAGGTGCTATGTCCAGATGGTTGATGCTGTAGCCAGATGTACAAAACCCTCCTAACGTTGTTGATATGGTCACGAACGCAACAGCCAGAGTGTAGTTACAGCCTATGAATCCAGCTGCTACTAAGAACACTGCAGGCCCAATCATTCCTTTAAGACAGGAATATTAGAATTAATGGACTTTGAACCCGAGAGACATGAAGAGGCTCTAAACTGTGTATTTTCTATACAACTTCCACCACCACCTAGCGTACAGAATTCAGCACTGCACTGCATACATTTCAGCGGGCCTGTAAGGAAGAGCAAATGGCTTGCAAACCTGTTGCTGCCTCAGGAAACGGTATCCAGACCAGAAAAATCCCACTCTAGATCCAAAGAACAAACTTAACTAGATAAAAAATTAACAAAAAATCAACAGATACCGAAAGATAATTCACAAATGAATTTTATCTATTGTTATAAAAATAAGAGAAGCTGCACTGACACTGGTAGGTGAACAGTGCACTGCAAAGAAATTATCCTCATTTAACACTCCAGGTTTCTGGAACAAACATCGATTTCTGCAGATCATAATAAAGCAGATCTGGAAGGGTTCATGTGAATACATATATACATATATGCATGTTTCTCCTACAGGAACCTTCTATAATGAGTTCAGTTTCAAAGTTACAAGATTTGTACCTCTGGAATATCCATACTGAAGTCTGCTGTACAATTCAGAGAACCCAGGCTAGCTTGAGAGATGCTACATCAGGTACTGGAAACAGTTTAGCAGCCATCATGACCTAGTGCATGCTGCCTGCTGTCTGCAGTGACCTTTGATACCTGTTTCCCAGTAGCACATCCCATTTACATGACTTCTTTGTGGTTTCTAAATGGTTCCAAGTACGTGCTTTAGTTGATGAAGCCCACCTAACAGTCATGTTTTTGCTGACAGAACAGCTTGTTTGCCCGTCAGTTGCACATACTTGGGCTTTGTGGTAAACTGGATCACTAAAATAGTGAAGGCTTAAAATAAAGAAAAAAAAAATGCTTAAGAGTTTATTATAAGAACTACTTTATAGAAAGCAATTGAATCAGCTGAATAGAGAAGGCAGCAAAGGTGAGCATACATCAAGAAGGCTACAATTTGTGTGGATCCTGTGCCTAATCTCTTATTTTTTCCTTCTTTCTCCTGCCCTGTTTTAATCATTAATCAGCTTCCTAAATACAGCCTTTTGCCTGTATGTATTAAAAGCATGATATTATTATCTCTTGGTGATTTCAGATCATCTTTCCTCCCAATTGGACAAGATAATTTTGGATTCTCCTTGGTTTTCCTGCCCTGTCAGCAACTCTAAATCTTGCAAGTGTATTCCTATTCAGTCATCTTAAGTCTTAAATAAACAAAACACTGAACAACACAAGGCTGGGAACAGGCTCAAGCAGAACAATATTCCATCTCAGTTTGAGAAAGCCATTCACAAGGTATCATTCTATCATGCAACTATCACCACTTTAGTTGTGAGTCTACCTGACCATTTATTTAATCAATTAGCTTGCAAGAATGAGGTATCTCAGCCTAAACAAAGCTTTTGGCAATCTCTTATCACATAGGCCTACTTTTTACTGGAAAAAAGATACGATTTACTCCTACCTAATGTGAAAATAAAGCTGCTCTTTTCAAGCCACGCACAATTCTTTCTAATCTTGAACCAGAGTGTCACAATGCTCTCCCAAAGCCTTAATTTTTCCCAGATTGATGCCATGATATGTTCTAAACATATATTTGCACCTACCTATTAGGGTGAAACACTTGCGAACACAAACAGTGGACATGTTCTGTTTTTCCCGTAAATAATCAGCCATTTGCCCAGACAGAATGATACATAACCAGCAGCCAAAATAAGGTAGGGCAGATAAAAACCCATTCTGTTAAAGAGAAAAAAAACAAACCAAGCAACAACAAACAACAGTTAAAACTCTGAAATGACAATTCAATATGCTGAAAAAAACACTTGTTTTGGGGCATTAACAGAGACTGAACCAAAGGTGTCAAAACCATCCACCCACACAGCTATTGTTGGTATTACCATAAAAAAGAAACCTAAAAATAGAAAGAGCAAAGGATTTTAAAGTCAGTAATGTGTAAACTCTCAATTTTCCTACCAATTGTAACTACCAATGCAGCCAGGCCAAAAAACTCAAAGGCTTAAATCACAACTGGGTTCAGGAAAAAGAAAACCATACGTGAAGGTTTCTTGTGGACACTAACCTGATCATGCAAGCTGCCAGAAACCAATTTCAAGAAGGAAAGGCTATTGAGCGAGTTACTAAAGCTGTACATGTAGCTGTAAATACTATTAAGAATACTGAAAACTATATGGAATCTTAGGGTTTGGTACTCTAGAACTCTTCAATCCCATTAAAACGTTATCCCATATCTAACTGCTGAAACATCTGATGCTGGACGTAACCAGAGGCAAGATACAGAACTAAAGCTTTCACCAGATGCAGACTAGACATCCTATGATTTCAAAGCAAAGCCATTATTCAGGACCAGCCCTTACTTACACTGAAATACCCTGTTAACTCTCATTACTTTAATCAGGAGCTCTTTAGAGACTTCTGCCTGATTCTGCATGTTTTCTGAAGAGGTGAAACAAAAAGTACAACTAAGGCACATCTAACCTTGTTCAGAGATTCTGCTATAATTTGACCTAATCTGTGAATCAAAAGAGGTATTTGGATAGCCATTGGATAGAGATACTCTAATGTTTAAACACTTCTATAAAATGTGTATTTGTCAAAGAAAAAATGAAAGCTTCCTTAGGAAATTTATTTTGAGATGAGACCAGAAAGATAAGCCCACCTGAAATCCACTCTGTCAGCACTCTGACATGCTGCCTGTTTGGTTTCAATGCTCAGCTTTCAAAAGCAGTTAGTAAAATTTTGATAAATGAAAGATAGTCTCAGTAATAAAACAAAACCACCTCTTTTTAAGCACTGTTCAATAGCACATTGCTTTTAGCCAGACCCTTTATTATAGGATGGAAACTGCTGTGCTAGACAGTAGCAACTGTGTAATATTTTAAACAGTAATGCATTTTCCATCCAAATATGTGCCAACAAAGTTAGTCCAACACTAGTATGCAAGTGTTCTGTATTGTATTGTTTTTTTCAATGTTGCCAACTATAAGTCACTCCAGAAAGAAGAAACATAACCCAGAGACATAGGAAACCACTTCACAGCAGAACCTATTTGCATTTAATGCAGTAGCATTTCACAAAGCACATGCAATCAGGAGCTGTGGTAGCAAATTACTTTCGTAGATTTTCCCTCAAGAGGCATAATAAGAAACCCAAACAGCAACTTCAACTAGTTTTTTTCCAGCCATTTTGCAGCCTGCCCTACTGCAACCTTCTCGTCCAACACTGAGATTCCCCATCTTTTCCTCCCAAAGTTGCTGGCATTGCCTTCCTTGCATGGCATGCATCTCCAGTTTGCTCTAAACATCTCATGTGTTAAACCAGGAAATGATTATGCTAAAATTCTTGAAACTTCTGTGCACCTTTTTGCTTGTGCTATTCCTGCCTTCTCCAGGTAAACTGTGCTGTCACTGAAACTTTCTCATGAAAGAAAGATCAGTGAAATGATTGCTGTAAATAAGAATGTTCCGTCCTTGTAATTTTCCTCTGATAATTTCATTTAAAAAAAATTACCTTGAAAAGCACTATTTCTGGCCCTTTCAGTCTATGGTTCTGTTTCATCCTATTTACCTTATTTAAAAAAAAAAGTGTTCTGCTTCTGCTGCTCATTAAGGAAAGGATTTTTGGAATTTGGAAAGGGATCAAATCAGACTGAAGCTCCCACCCATTCTCCCTCCTGACTTAAAATACTTTCATAAATGCCATTTTCCAATTATTTCCTTAGTTCTGTTTTTCTTTTTAAACTAGAAATGTTCTCCATTATAAGTGAGCAGAAAACAGATAGTATTTCAGAAGCCATAAGACAAACTTTAAAATCTGAAGCAATCATTCAAACTACATAGCAGAGAAATCTGCTTTATTGGGAGATTTATGTTACTATTTCCTAGCTATACATTTACATTCCAAGGTTCTTAAACAGGTTTGTCCATTCTAAACAGCAGGGAAGATCTCTGTTGTTTCATTTCTTTAATTCAGAAGAAAGTTACTACGTCTTTATTTCTCTCACCTCCTGTGCATCAAACCTCAAGATCTCCTTCATGTACGTGGGCAAGAGTGTGAGAAGTGTATAGAAGGTCCAGTTATAAGAGAAGTGTGCCACAACAATAGCCCAGAGTGGAACGGACTCCAGCATAGGCCTCCAGGGGACAGATTTCTGTGTAGAAAGCTAGCAAGCAGGAGACAAGAGAAAAAGGGAAGATAAAGAATGATCAGGACATCAATGTGAAGGTTTACTAAATACAGTGTTTTGATCCTACCCAAATCTATGCTAGTCATTCATTCTGAAGGGCACAAAACGAGCCTTGGTTGAGAGACACAAGTAATCAGCAGTGAATTAACGACTGTGCTCAGGTCTCACTGGAGGCAGACTAACATATGTTGCTGCTCTGCTGTCTACTCTTGCAAAGCATACCCATTACTATTATGTTTTATAATCAGAAATTTAAAAAGTACACCTGCCTTTGTTTATATTAGTTGCCTCCTGCTTTTACTAGAAATGATTGTATTTGAGTATTGAAAGTATTGAAAGTTACCTCTCGTGTATTTAGCTGAATCTTTCCTACACAATCCTAGATACTAACTTTGGTCTCTTAGCCAGCTTCACGGGTTGTAAATAGATAGCCCAAATCACAGGAACAAACTCTTACGCACACTTTAGGAACTGTCTAATTAGAGTTTTCAAAATGTTTTGTTGGCAAACAGTTCTCTTTCTCTAGAAGGCACGTTGAAAATAAGAACGTAAAATGTTATATTGCAAAGTTTAAAGACGTTATACAGGTCTGGATCTAGTTTAACTGGAAGTAAGAGACTTGAGCTTTTTATTTAAGCAGCACTGCAGCAACATCAATGATAAAATACATTATTATAAATGCTTTGTTTGATTACTGATTGTTTCTCACACAACTGCACTGCATTTTTAATTTTCTGTTTGACAAATTCTGCTTCTACCTCAGACTAAGGATCTTTTTCTAGACATCAACAGAGCATGACAATAATGACAATATTTGCGGCTTATGTTCTTACGTAAGCAAGCATGACTGTACCAAAGAGCTGTACCTGATCTTTTAGAGAACAGAGTATATATTCCCTTTCAGCATGTGAAATGCTCCTATGACTTTCTGGTGTATCACTAACCAACCACATCCAGAAGAAGAACCATAACACACCAAGTGCACCTGTTATTGGAAAAAGATGGGTCAGGAGAAAAAAAAACAACAACCCATAAGCAATTATATTGAATGAATAACACTCTGGTTATTTAGTTACAAGTTTTTTTCCAAATACTCAAATATAATTTTAATGAACATTATTTTTCTATCTAGGTACAAACAGTATCTCCCCAAAGTGGCTTAATGATGCTCATCTAGAGGTAATAAATAATAAAGAGAATGGAGCAGGAAAGTGGGTTTTTGTGGTTCCTTTTTTTTCCCTTTGTTTTCTTCCTCTTGGAAGTGCCTCATACAGCAAGAAAATTGCACACGCACACATATTGTATTTTTATCAGTCACATGGAACAGCCTCAAATGATATGGCTCACCAAGAGGAAATAAAAATTCACGATAAGTTTAATCACAAAAGTACTCTGTGCACATACACAGAATATTTCTACATAGAGCTTAACTCATGTACCAATCCTCCTTTTCTTTTTTAAGCCAAATCCCAGAACTGTCGTTTGAAAAGGTTATTGAAAAATTTTTCAATAGCCAGTCCAAATCAACCATAATTCTATATAACTATCATATTGTAACATCTAATTTTGTCCATTCTTTGTTTTGAACTCTTTCTATTCATATGAAAATTTGAGGTGGTTTTGTTGAGGAAAGTGTAGCCCTTATCTTTTATTTTGATTCTCCTGTCCCCATGCAGAATACAAAATGGCTCAGATGTTAACAGACCTACCAAAAAAGCATTAGTTATGTCTATGACATGCTGTTAGAAAATATTTGCTGTGTTTGAGCTCCTTGTTGAATATAACTCACAGTAAACATGCTATGCCTTGCATTTGGGGCATTCCTTCAGGTTTCCTGTGACTGCTGGAGAGATTTTCCACACTGCTTCCATTTAAAGCAGCAGTAACTTTTCACGTTCTTTCATTCAGACTAAAAGTCTCTCCCTGGGATTAAAGTTATTAACTCAATTTCACACTTCAAATAAGAAATTTCAGCCTGTTGTTTCCACATGGAGGGAGAGTTAAGAGCATTTGACTTGCAGCAGCTTTTGTCCAACTCAGAGACAGCATTGCTCACTGGAAGCAAGGCTTACAAAGCCACACAAAGGAATCTACTTAGTATTAAATACCTCTAATTACCCAGGAGGAATAAAATAGCAACACTACATGTCAAATAAGTTTTTTATAACTTAAGTTTTATAATATACCATGATTTTTAAAAAGAATATAGATTGTACTTTTAAAAATTAAAAAAACACTTACCAAATATATAAAACACATAAACCCAGTTCATATAGTAGCAAATTAAACCAGAGAGTGGCAGAGAAATAACAGTTCCCAGCTGTGCACCTACACAAAGAGAAACAAAACAGAAAACCAATAATCGGTTTCAGGGGTCTATAGGACATGTAAGTGGCATTTCACAGTTATTTTATTTTTTTTCATAATAAATCATGCAGAAAAGATTTGTCACCACCACTAGAGGGCTGCCATTTCACCTTAAAGGAACACAGGCACGATAAACTGCTTTGGCAGCTCCAAGTAAATGCAGCCAGAAAGCCCTTAGAATCCAAAATGACCAGCAAAAAGCAAGAAAAGACAAAAAAGCAAGAAAATTCTTAGCACACATCTCCACTAACGTCATGGCACCAGCACGTCCAAGGCAATGCAAATTAGTCAACTGGCACTGCTGCAAAAGAAGAGAAAGTTTACCAAAGCAAAATTAAGAACTTGGAGAGGGGATAATATTCTGACTTTATATAATCAATTTGCATTTATCATAACTCCTACAAGCTCCACAGAAACAGGAATGCTAGAAGTAAGAGCCAAAAGGCATCCATATAAGTAGCAGGTTCAAAATCCTACTGCCTGCTGAATTCAACAGGTATCAGGCAAGGACAAAGGGAAATATGAGCAAATTCCAGTTCAGCTCCAAGGCAAAAGCAAGCAAGAACTCTTCTTGAGTGTGTAATTTAATATACATTTTGAAAAGGATGGTGGGCTTCCTCCCCCAGCCCCAAATCTAAACCAGAAACCTCATCCATTTTATTTACATGCTCAGGAATTCTATTGGTAATAAATAGTAGACTTCGTCTCTCTTTGTCAGTTATACGATCACACCTCCAAATCTAATCTCAATGCAGAAAACATTATGTTACATTGATACACTGGCACCCTAGATTGCATTTTCATGGAAAAAAAAATTTATTTGAGGCAGAAAGCTTCAACCATGAACAAAAACACTCCACACTTGATGCAAAATATAAAGAAAAATAACAACTATATGCAACATCAATCATATGTTCTCTTAGAAAATCAACATGATCACGATTAAATAAACCAGAGATCACATGGCTGTCAACCAGGAAACTGTGGAGAAAAGGAAACACTCTGCTAAGTTTACACAAGATGCCTTATTCACCAATGACTGCTAAGAATTGGCAGTTCAAGCCCACAGCATCTTCTCATTAGTATACCAGCATGTAGTTTCACAAGGTATAAAAGGACAGCTTAAAAGCTCCCAATTGTTAAATGCAGTAGATCTCAATCCCAACTCTGTGAGTTTAAGCTCTCTGCTTAACTTGTGTGCCGGCTCTTCACAAGAAAACTTCTCTTAAAGCAGATTTAATTCAATAGTATGACAGAAAACAGATACAAAAAAGAGCTTTCTGCTGCATTAGCCAGGTTAATGTAGTTCACGGAAGGATCTGATGAGTGTCTGGCATAGCACAAAGAAAGGAATGAGACACTTGGCTAGGAGGCAAGTGAGGAAAGGTGAGGAAGAAAGGATTAAGGCTTCATTCCTGTTGGCAAAAGTGAGCCACTAGACTGGCTTAGCTACTTGAACAACTGTAGCTGCAGTTTACATAGTATATACCCTGTGTTCTTGAGGAATGCCAGGTTGAATCAAAAAGCTGTAACAAATTAATACTAACAAGAGTGAGTAAAACAAACCACTGCTTCATAAAGTGAATGCAAAACTTGTCATTCTCAAGGAAATAATACCAATTTTCATGGGTAAAATTAGAAAGCTAGATTTTTCACCTGTCCCACGAACACTGCATTGTGCAATGGCACTGACCAATAAATCCCTTAAACAAATGACGGGTCCGTGGAGATGGGTAAGAGCAATAATAATAAACTCAGGGTGTGACTGACCACAGCTCTTGCAAAGAAAGTTGACTTAATTTCAACATAAAGAGCACCAGAAGATGGCCTTTTTTTAGATAAACAGCTATGTCAGCTGAGTGGATCAGCTGGTGGTGTAAATGTTTGTCCCCAACATTAGAAGCATGACTATCTCTGAGTTAGCCAGAACAGCATGAGGGGAGTGAATACACAGCTCAGCACAATCTAAAGGACAAAAATGAAATAAATAACAAAACTGCTAAGAAAACAACAGACTTGAGCTGCCTTCAACCCATATATTCCTGCTCTATGACTAGGGATTTCCAGTGTCATGATGGTAAGCATATTGGAGACCAGTAACACAAAACTGTATTGCAATTGCTCTATTTCATGAAGTGTTAACTTGCATTTGTAATGTGTGTTCAGTATATTTCATATCACTCTACTAAATCAAAAATCCTGTGGCATATGAAATATCTTCAAATAAGTGAATCTGACATCAAACATTGCACCTTCCATGTATAGAATATCTAAAAGAATCTGGTCATGGAGTATTGGACACTGACAAGGAGCTCTTGCGACAATACCTTGGACTTTGGACATTTCTTCCTTCAATTCCTCAAAAAAACCTCATTTAAAAAAAACCCTTAAAACCAACTAAACACCTCTATACTGTGATTCCATCCTAACTTTTTTGATCCTGATACTAAATCTCCCTTTATTTACAATATCTTCTATTAATCAGCTTCACAATAATTCTTTGCACCACTTTATACCAAAGTATGAAGTTTATTCTTAGTTGCAGATCGATACCTTTTCTCAGGGTTATAAGATCCATGAATAAAGGAAGATAATTAATTCAAAGCAAGATTTAATTCAAAGTTATGCTTTCCAGATTAAATGCTGATTAAAATGTGTAAGATAAAACCCTTTGATTTAAGTCAATCCTCCCTATTACTGCAGTAAAAATGTATAATCCTGTTATCAGCGTGGGAAATTCTCACCTGCATATGAAATACTAAGGAGCTTGCTGCGTTCCAGTGGAGGAGCCCAAGAAGACCACATTGAATGCATAGCTGGGAATGTAACACCCTAGAAAACAATACATAATTCTGTTGAAATGTGACAATTTTAGAACTCCATTCAACTTTGCATGTTTCAAAGCATATTTCTTTAAAAAGGAGAAGTACTGTTTTATGGAATCACAGAATTGTCAGAGTTGGAAGGGACCTCTAGAGATCACCTAGTCCAACTCCCCTGCTAAAGCAGGATGATCTAGAGCACATTACTCAGGACTGCATCCAGGCAGGTCTTGAATATCTCCAGAGAAAGAGACTCCACAACCTTCCTAGGCAGCCTGCTCCAGGGCTCTGTCGTCCTCACCACAAAGAAGTTTTTCCTCATATTTAAATGGAATTTCCCGTATTCCAGCTTGTGTCCATTGCCCCTTGTCCTGTCACTGGGAACTGCTGAAAAGAGTCTGGCCCTGTCCTCCTTGCATCCACCCTTTAGATACTTATAGGCGTTAATAAGGTCTCCCCCTCAGCCTTCTCTGCTCCAGGCTAAAGAGTCCCAGCTCTCTCAGCCTTTCCTCATACGGGAGATGCTCCAATCCCCCAGTCATCTTTGTTGCCCTCAGCTGGACTCTCTCCTGTAGTTCCCTGTCTCTCTTGAACTGGGGAGCTCAAAACTGGATGCAATATTCCAGATGTGTTCTCACCAGGTCAGGGTAGAGGGAGGGAATGACCTCCCTTGACCTACTGCCACAGTCTTCCTTATGCATCCCAGGATTCCACTGGCCCTCTTGGCAGCGAGGGCACACTGCTGGCTCATGGATAATTTACCGTCTACCAGGACACCCAGATCCTTCTCCTCTGAACTGATTATAGCAGGTCCACACCTAACCTATATTGGTGCATATGGCCCTTCCTCCCCAGGTGCAGGACCCTACACTTGCCCTTGTTGAACCTCATTAGTTACCTCTCTGCCCAGTTCTCTAGCCTGTTCAGGTCATGCTGGATGGCAGCACAGCCCTCTGGAGTGCTGGCCACTCCTCCCAGTTTGGTATTGTTAGAGAACTTGCTAAGGATACACTCTGTTCCCTCATCCAGGTCATTGATGAATATGTTTGGGTTTTGTTTATCAAGAAAACACTTCAAACAAGTGAGAAAGGTATGAGAGTAAGTAGGCAGAATTAATTTATTCTGCTTTTGATTCTGTATATACTGGAAAAGCAACAATAATACAAACAATACTGTTCTGAGCTCCTGATTATCCTGAAGGGGTAATTCTAGTTTTGTCTAAAGTGTCCTTGCAAATAAAAACTTTCTCTTATTCAAAAAGCTTAGGCTAAAATACAGGGTGAAGTTTTTAATTATTCAAAAAAATTAAAACTAAGCTACTCAAAATGAAACAATCCATATGCTATTCCAGCATACTGACACCCACAGGGTCTCTAATCACTACAAATGATTAATAAACTATTCAGAGAAATTTTCAAGCTACATAGAGATAAAGGATTACCTCTCCCAGTCCTTCCAAAGCTCTGACAGTTATGAGGTAGCCAACTCCCAAATTTGCAGCTAAGGGAGTGAGCAAAGTGAATATAGAGGTACCAAAGATGCCAAATCCCAGCAACAGCTTCCCTCCAATTCTGCTTGCAAGATATCCTCCTGGAATCTGAGTAATGATATAGCCATAGAAAAACGAACCAAGGATCCATCCCTGAGTATCTGCGTCCCAAGAATACTTTTGCCCCTAAAAAAAAAAGAAAACAAAACAGAACAAAGAACACCCACAATACAGTAAGTTCAAAGTAGCAGTTTCTCTGACCATATTTCATATAACTTTAATCACAAAACTTTCATGGCCTCCTCCCTAGGGTCTCCTTTATCTACACATATCTATACTGTAATCAAAGTTGTGCTGAAAGCTAGTTCAGGTAGTACTAGTTCAGCACAGTCTGTCCAGACATACCTAGCTGAAGTATGAAAATGATCACAAGGTGAAATTTAAATACTTGGGCAGTTAGCCCTTTTTTAAGGTTCAAGCAATTTGGATTAGGTGACACAGGTACAGGCTATGTAGTCTGCATGAGTGTGAATCCCACTTCTGTATCACAGAGTGGACATTCTGTCAGGCTCTATAAAATTGCCCTTCTTGCGGAAAATTCATGGACAGAAAAGCAAACAAGGAGATGCAGATGCTTAAATTTAATGTGAAGGAACAGAGCTGTCAAGGACAGGACTCATAAGGGTAGGTGGAAGAATGGGATAAGCACAGCAGAGGGAAGAGAAGGTTAGTGGACCAAGTAATAAAAGCAAAGATGATAAAAATAAGGAGCCTGAAGCTACGAAGGAAGCCAGGAAGTAGTCATGAACTGCTGCCCAATAAACTGATTTTGAAGTTTGGAATCCCTTCCAAAAGCCCAATTAATGATAAGCAGTATAGATTTCAGAGAAGCAATGGATGGAATCTTCTTCCCATAAAGTTTGCAGTTATAATTTGCTTGTGATAAATAATGAATGACCTCTAAACAAGCAAACAAAATGAAGGGAGGAAGACAGTAAGAGCACTTGGTAGCAAACTGCAGTTATAAGGTGAGATCTATGAAACTCCGAAATAACAAAGCTGGCATTTTTTCATATCCAACAGTTCAGTTAAAAAATGTGATTTTAAGGGTTACTGGAAGAGAAGTCAGAAATAAAGGTTATAAAGACAGTGAAGAGAAAGATATTACATGTTATTTTGAAATGAAATGTCATGCCATTGCGACTGTACGAAGAACAGGCAAATAAGGACAGTGATGTGAGCTCTGACGCAGCTGTAACAGTAACAGTTGATCACTGCCATCTAAAACAGTGAGTCATAATACACTACAAAGTCAGATTAACCAATTTGTAAGGAATAGCACAGACAGGGTGTACATAAAAAACCTGACCCTGAGCACAACATTTAAAAATCAGCTAGTCATTTAAGGCTATTATTTTTAGGACAGCTTTAAAAGAACCACTTACAAGGATATCTGGTAAAGAGCAGCCTGTTTTCTTGCCACCTAAGCATGAGTCATCAAGCACAGACAGTTATTAAAAAGACTTTTACACGTCACATTACAGGACAGTATGTTTGAGACCTCACCGTTGTGTTGCGAGGAACATTTATGGTGGAGGAATGCTCTGGACACACACTGGAAGTTGAATTCTTCACTAAGCTTGTGTTAGGTTCTACCATGTCCACCAGAGCAACACTTAGGTTCACCCGTAGTGCGTAGAGGAGGAAGAACCCAAAAAAGGCCAGTAGTGCTAGATTGTAGCGAGCTGAGCAGCATGCAGGGACTGAAATAAGAGTAAACAAATATATATTTTTTTTAACAGAACCTGACAAAGTAAGAACTGATAACCAGTTTTTACTAATAATGTCAGAAATTTGTGGGCAGGAAAAAACAGGCAAGAAAAAAAGCTAATTATTCTAGACTTAAGGGGGTGTGCTCAATAGAGGTAGAGACTGAGGGGGGGGGAATAATAAATAAAAAAGCCTGCTTTTCTACTGATGTGTAAAACAAATGTAATTCTGGTTTAGACAACTGGTAGCTACCTGGACTAGTGTAGGGGCTGCAGGGTGGCATGTGGTCTGCAGAAATGGATTTAGAAACATGGTTTCAAAAGTCCACTCCAAAATATAGTAATATTTATAGTAATATTTATTCAAAGTAGAACTTCACACTAACAAACACCAGGACTAGCAGAAAGGCTGACATATACATGGGAACGGTTCAAGAAAAACAGAGCTGAAGTAGTGTTTAAAATACGGTTTAAAAGTCATGTCTTAAAGCAGTGGTAAAGAACTGTCATTGAGATTCCAGGCTATTTTCTAGTTTGCTTATGAATGAATATGCATTTGCTGACAGCTGCTCACCAGAGAACATTACCAGAAAGGGGAACAGCAAACACTGCAGAGGCAATGTGAGATGGCAAGTTTGCCAGTTGTCCAGCACACCCTTCTTCTGCCGTTACCATACAAAAATGAAGTTTACAGAGGAAAATTACTCTTAGATTCAGCATAAAATCTGTGTTGTTGCAATCAAGTCGACTCTGTCACCTGTTTAAATAGACATATAACACTGTGCACTGCAAGGCAGTTATTGATTCCCTTCTACAGTAGTACACAGCAGCATTTGGCAGGGATCAGTAACAAGAGATTCAGATCAAAGTTGAGCTGCAACTTGGACAGCACATCATCAGTGGCAATAAATTTTCTGTCTATACAAAATACAGTTTACAGCTCTGCAGATACTCTTCATGAGCTGGGAACACCTGAACTTACTGAGCAGAAATGTTAAATGTTTGATAAACTACTTGAAGAATCTGCTTAATTTACAAATAACTGGGGAGAAGAGTTTCCCCCCTTGTGAGAAAACGATGGTGATAACGGAAAATTTCATAACCTGGATGTCTGAAACTCCCGAAGGGCTGGGGATCAGCACCTGCAGATCTTACATCAGTCTACAGTGACCTCATTTTTGTCTGACTATTCAGAATTCAAATGATTAATAGAACAAGTATAATTGTAAACAGCAGGATTGACTGGAGCTTCAGCGGCTACTGCAGTATGAGTCTTGACTGGCTTCTCTGCTCTGCAGTAAGAAGCAAAAAGCACACTCTGTGGACAAGCTATTGTGAAAGAGACTCTCCCCTCCCCAGTAACTTCCTTGAAACAAGGAATGAGCATGCAATTTTGTCTTTTTCAGTGGGGGCACCAACAGCACCTTTCTGCAAGACAATATTTTTCATGAAAGCTGTAGAACTTTCCCATTTTTTAAGCCTCTAACCCTCAGCAACTTTATGTAAAGCTCATGATGGCTGCCTAAGTTGTCAAAAAGGACATAGAGAGGTTGGATTTGTTATATCCATTTTAGTACACGAGTAATAAGTGAGGCTACTGTACAAACATTCAAAACACCTTCCAGACCTGTGGTAACTGCAAATCTTGCCTCAGCAGCCTTTGAAAAAAAGACATACTTGGTTTTTAAGTGACAGGAAGAAAAGCAGCCAAGATTTTATTGCTTATTTTAAAAACAATGGGCACCAAGAGCAGGAAGTGCTTACTGCACAAAACCTAGTCAAGCAGCTTCATTTTCCTTTATTGTTGTTTAAAAAGCAATTTGCCTTAAGTAGAAATGTATAGTCATATAATTTATAACAATGAATATAATTACAGGCAAAGCTGTGTAACCTTTCCACGGCCGGTATTTGCTAAGGTTAAACAATAATAACAGAAAGCTGAACATCACACCGACAGTGTAACCCTTTCCTTGGAAATGCAGATTAACTGGAACATCCATTACTCTTCCTCTGGAAACCTCTTACTAGCATAAATCTTGTCTGGAGAGCCAACTTCACAGAACACGTACAAGAAATTAAGATAACTGATGACAGATATTTTTTATGGTCTATCAGAAAAATCTAACAAACATGAAGATCTGCAAGTCTGAAACAAATGAAAGCTAAATTATTGCTTCCCTGTCTTTCCAATAAGTGCATTTGTAATACCTGAAAATATTAGATCAAGTTAACAGAACAGCAGTTTCGAGAAGAGTCCAGACGCATTTCAGTCACCCACCTCTTCAGGGTATTGCCCTAATCAAAGAGACACAGACACTCACCCCACTAAAGTGTAAGGCAGCTAACCATGATGCCCAAGGTCTTACCTTGATTGGTAGTCTTGGGTCCTACATCCACGGTTAATTCTGAATTCAGGGACATGATTTATAGTACTGTAGCTATAACTGAAGAAGATTCTTAAACTGCAGTTTAAAAGAAATAGGTCTGTGCAGCAAGTTGCACAGCAGTTAAAGGAAGTTGCTCTTCTGTATTCTTCCTTGTGGGTGAAGTGAACCACCTCAATTGGAGCACGATGCATTGTGCAAACTTAATAACATATTGCTTTAATAACCAGCTTGAACTCGAACTTATCTCTTTCTAGCACTTCTAAGTCATTCTGTTAGCAATCCCTCTTGCTGCAGTTGCATGTTTCCCAAGGAAGTTAGAGTACTTTTACATGGCATACTGAAGACACTTAAAATGTTACTTTACTCTTTACAGTCTGTGCATTCCGGGAAACAAAACATGACAGACAACCCCACAAACATGTTAACTCTGCAGTTAAACCCAGACCCCGTAACAACCCTTCTCACCTATCATTATCTCCGTACCTCCTTCTGCCTTCTTTCCTCTCCATACTTCCGTAACAAGCGATTTAGCCTTACCCGAGTTCTGTCTTAAAGCGACATCCTGCCCTAACCTCGGTGTGCCCAGCAGTCAGAACAGCCCGGCATTCCGGCTGGAACTACCCACTCGTCTTCAAACACCGCGCCCAGGGGAATTCATCACCAGGGCTGCACGCCTGCTGCCCACCCCCCTGCAGAGCACGGAGCTCCGACCCCGGCGGGACCCGGGGCCGTGCCCCGACATCCCCGCGTCCCGGGAACAACCGCACCCGGCGGGGCGGGCGGGGCGGCCCCCGGGGCGGGCGCTGCCCGGGGGAC